TGCTTCTGCTTGGCAGAATGAGAAGATGCAGAAGAGCCTTCATGCTGGTTAAATGCCATGTGACTTTTCACCTTTCCACAGGTTTAATCGGTGGTAGCTGATTACTGCGATTCCAACTGCATCACAGTACCGCAGCAGCAAGCTGTCAGGGTGGATACAGAATCCAGGCTTCTGGGACCACTTTCTTCCAATAGAAAGTCCTTGTAGTGTGAAGCAGAGAAGGAAAAGGGTTGTCTCTTGTAAAATTGATATCAACATGTAGCAAATCAAAATATTTTTACTTTTATTCTGTATTGAGTTAATCAGAGAATGGGTGGTTAGTTCCACTCAGGGATATTTTATATTCTTTGTCCCACTGGATATAAGGTACTACCTTCTTGTAGAGAAGCTATAGTTTAACATTGTTGTGCTATTGTATCATATTTAACAAAAAGCATACTTTGCTAACATAAGATGAGGACATATTTACTACATCTATCTCCTGCCTTTTCTTGTCCTTCGCTCAACACATGCAGATAATTTTATATGAAAGATATTCTTTTCTAATCCCACTTTTATTGTATGCTTACCATAGCAAATGCTGCTCACGTGTAGACTACTATTTGTCTAGATCTCTTCCTGCATTAAAAGACTTACATAATCGTATTGAGAGAAAGCACTTAGAGATCTGTAATCCATTGGTCTTACTGAATGACTTTTTACATAATGAAAATCTGTGAAGGGTAAATATGTCGACTAGGAGTTCGACTAGCACTTAAATATAAGGTATTTCTGGAAAATGTACATAAACAACACAAGCCCTGTAAGAGAAGGAAAAGAATGCCCAAACCCAGTCCTTTCAGACTACAAATGATAAGCACGTGTTTAATTTTTAATCTGAAAGCTAATGACATCGGTTGTTTAGTCCTTTTTTAAAGAATTGCATTTATGTAAAAAAATATTTTCATATTTAGATGAAGAATTTTGAAACTAATTTTATTTCATAATTTTATTTCATAATGCTAAAGTTTGATGTTATATTGTTTGCAACATAAGGAGAATCACTTTAATTATAGATCTGTGTTTCTTTTGTTAGTAAACTAAAACAGTGTATAGCGTTTTTATGGTGATAGACTGGGAGTCCTGGAATAAAATTACAAATGGCTGCATTTAACAGACTCAGTTCTGATAGTTTGATACAACTGTTGATCATGGTTGCTATCAATACCACAGGACCAAATTTCATGCCCCTTAGGTTGTGTGTATCTTTTGCTAAAGTAAATGCAAGCTTTGCTGGCTGAAAGGAGGCAGAGTTTGCATCCTAACACAGTGAGGATCTAATATGTTAGTCTAGTCTTACATGTTTTCTATTTTGCAATTGCCCAAGCCAATGGTTCTGTACTTTACTCAGCCACACTGAACAAGCAGTGCTGAAGGCAACATCATCCCTGCTATTCTAAATGTTGTTGTAGCTGTTTCCTAAGGCAAAGATTTCTTGACTTTTCAGGCTGCTGATTCCCTTGCAGTATAAATTAAGATGTATCACTATATTCAACTTTGGGAGCTTGAGAGGGGTGCATTTATGTAAAGAAAACTGTAATGAGAGGGCTTAGCATGTTACTTCTATTTCTGTGGCTGAAATAGGAACTTTTTGTTTAGAAGAGCTTACTGACAAGCTGTATTAATATTCCAGTTTTTGTTTGGTTTTAATTACTGCTGCAAGCCAACCAGTAAGTTATAAGAACGTACTTTATTTTAAGTTAGATAAATAGTGACAGTAACAAGTTTGAATTATTCAAAGTGTAGAAAATATCACTCATGCACAGGCAAAACCAGTATAATTCAAGTCAGGAATAAGATTTTAATATACAGCAAATTTACTGTTGTGTATCCTGTGAATAAAGACAAAAAAACTGAAGTAGAACAACACTGAAATTAAGCAATGACCATCTTTTTTTGTACTGAAAGCACAGTAACATTTTCATTCTCTGATCAGCATGAGAGCATTTGCATTTTCATAATGCTATTTAAATACAGAGTATTTTGAAGTTTGACTTCCCATTTTTCACTTACAAACCCAGCATTTCCAGTCTCCTTCCAGTTGCATTCGGGGGCGGGGGGGGGAGAAGAGTGCAAATCTGCAACATCCCTTTATTTCTTAATTTAAAAGAAGCATCAGTACTTTTGGGCAATGGTGATTTCATCTTGTTTTGACTTTGTGAGCTATGTGCCCAGACTCTGTCACATTGAGCGTACACTTATATCAAATGTAGGAGATTAATGGCAGGAACATTATCCATTTAGATGGTGCCAATCCTGTGTTAGAATTCTGCTTAATCTATTAATTTCAGATAGCCTAAATATAAGATGATACAGATTTTTAGGAACAAACTAACGATGAATAAATCTGCAGCCAGCTTTGCCTTAAGACTTGAAAATACATTATTTTTCTAAGGTCCAATCCTTTGAATACTAATTGTGTGCATATTCATAATGAAGCAAGACTTACATAATTATAGGCTACTTATATGAATTCTTCGAGTCCTGTATCCATCCAAATTCCAAAAAATGCAACAGATTGAAAATTTACAGTTTACCAACTCGTGGAGGCTTGTTTTTGAAGACGAGATTATGTGTTCTTAAAAATTACTCTATACAACTAACCGTGGATAAACAGTATGCCCACTTCAGGATACCAAGATCCAAGATAACAAATGCTGTTAAGTGTTACCATTTACTTATCCACCAGAAACCAGACTTTTATTACTTGGTTTTTCAGAACATGTGGTTAAATGATCTGATTTCAAAAGGAACATGGAGTTTTCAAGAGGCACAGAATAGAGTCCAACTTCTTATCCACCTTCCTGGGAACTAAGTAAAAGGAGAGTGCCAAGAGTGAAAATACCCACAAATCCTTAGTGGTGGCAATCCAAATATGTACATTCTCCTGCAGCTTTTGCTGTATTTTCCATACATATGTTTACTCAATATGATTGTGAAGGAGATCTTCTCATTTAAGTCAACACACAGTAATTACACCTTGTCTAGACAGACTGAAACAGTAGCACCGATAAATACAGGCTTGACTTTGTTGGAATGCTGCTGAGGATCTCTACGAACCTACATAAACTATGTATAAAATGCATCCTATGGAATGAGTGAAATACAATAGAAAGGAAAGTGGAGTTGTCTTATAAAACTCTGAATTCCCATGAGAATGGAGCTAGACTGGATCAATGTGCAGAACTCACATTATCCTTCAATGTAATGATAGTCTATAGCCTTTAATTCAGGCCTCAACTTAGTATTTTTCCTTACCTACATTGCTTTTTTTCTCACCTACCAGTGATCAGATTCAAATTTGTCACACACTTTTTCTCCCCAAATCCAGTTCTCTTAAGTTTTAAAGAATAAACTGTTTGCTGCAGTTTTTCAAAGTATGTTTAGTTCTTAACTCAAAAATATAGCTTTGAGTGTTGTCAACACAATTATATTTAACAAGCATGAAGACTGTTGTCTAGTAACTTCACAAAACACGTCCAGTCATTATTTTTTTATAATGTGTCCATAATAATCAATACAGAAGAATAATAACTTATTAAAAACACAGTTTTACAGGGTCTTTTTATTTGCCTGTGGAGTGCCTCATACACCTATGGCACTATAAAGTATGTACCAAGCATTCTTGAACAAATCGTGTGTGTTCACAGTAACAGAAGCTATTTCCGTAAGTTACACAATCAACACCATAATACATAGGTCCTTTCACAAAACATTACAGAGCTTCACTGCAAAGTTAGTGTTTATCCCCTCAGTTTTACAATTAAATGTTGACAGTTTTATAGGGAAGCACTGGAAAGTTTTATGCTTCTCTTCATTTACCTCCCAAAATTGCAGTGTATCAAATTGGACCAATCCCACAGGCTTCCCATTTCCCAAATGATTAATCAGACATGAATGAGAGATGAAACCGAGATGCATTTTTAGCTTTGGCTGGATTTCTGCAAAGAATTCAGGAGCTTGCAGAAATGTGACTGTACATACACAGGTACCAATCCCTGCCTGCCAACATGAGAGGGGATCTCTTTGGATTATTAGAAAGGTCTGCTTTAACTCGACATCATTTTTGTTTGCTAAAATCTATTTTCAAAAATTACTGCTTCTGCTGTGGGTAGATTCATTGCTCCTATTTTCATAGTGAAGTGCAAACTGTTTGCTTCTACAGAGAGAAAAACTGGACCAGTGGCAAGAATCAGCCTTTCTGCAGGGGAAGACAAAATGCTAGTGAATGTGGATGAGAACTACAAGGCTTGATAGTGTTTTTCTGAATACGCAACTCCCTCTTTTTTCTCTCTGGATTTGGAAAGCGATTAGTCATTCGCATATGCTGTGCCAATCCATGCAACTGGGTTCTGTACAATCCAGTCGAAATCAACAAACAGTATTTGGTATCAAACATTGCTTGTTCTGTTTTCTCCATCCTCCTCCACACCTCCCCAACCATTAACTTATCTAAAATAGAGGTTGTTCACATACTACTTTGTGTATTTGATGAAAAAACCCAAGTATTCTATTAACTTTGTTGGATAAAACACCTGTATTTGCCTCCAAATTTGTGTTACTCTCAAATACTGTAAACAGTGACCAGCAGCAAACACCAGAGCTTATTCAAGAACAAAAAATCCAGGCTTCTGAGAATAGTGATCTATTAATAGCAGGCAAATCCCTATTACAGTCAGTGGTGCTAATACCCTGATACTTCATAGTTAACCATTCCAAGTCCAGCAAATGAAGACATCCTATTCTGCAGGCTGATTTGCATCCCTTTTCTTCAAAAAGCAAGAAGAAACAAATAGTGCATTTTAAGATATTGGGAGGCAAAAGTTTTGCTGTGTTTTTTCAAGTGCTAGGTTTAAATTCTCAGCTCATCCAAGTGACCCGTTTTGAAAATTAAAGGTGAGGCATGAAACAGTCCAAAGACAGACTGGAGGGGGGACCCTCTTGTCAGAGCCTGCACCACCCTAAGAGAGTTTTACCACACACACTGCCAGGACAATAGCGATAATGAGCACAGCGGAGAAAATAATCCCAGCTAGAACCTTGCTGATATCGCAGAAGGATTTATTTTCCTCCACAGAGATCATGCCAATAGAAGAAGCGCCCACGCTGATGGTGGATTTTAGTTCAGCCCCTGGGTCTTGCTTAGCCTCTACTGTCCACTGGGGGACATTGACCTTCATTTCCATCTCGTACATCATCTCTCCTACCTGGTTGATTTCGTTCTCGAGGTCTTTCAAATCCACCACGTCTATATTGTGCTCAGCCTCGTATTTCATGTTCTGAACGCTCATCGCCCTGGCGGCCACGCCAGAGGTTCCCCCGCTCATGCCTGTCTGGATCAGGTGCTTTTTGGGGACGTTTAGGGGGAACTCGTGGCCCAGCTCCAGGGCTCTCCTCATGTCGATCTCCAGGATCTCTAGGCACGTGGAGAAAATCACCCATAGCCTCTCGAACTCGGCTTTATCTTCCTTACTCACGGTTTTGTCCTTCAGGACCGTGGTGAGCTTGTTCCTGTTGGCCACCGCTAGCTCTTGGGCTTTCTGCCGGGTTTTCTTGAGCTCCTCCCGCAGGTTCTGGGAGTCCGAGGTGCCGCCGATGGTCAGCACCATGTGCCGGTAGCAGGCGGTGACCTTGTTGAGCGCGTCCAGCAGCGCTTTGCACTCCTCCTGCACCATGATCCCGGCGGCGGCGCGGGGCTGCGTCCCCGCC